TCAGAGGAAGACTGTTGATTTTTAGTTTGGTGTTTTTAATAAACTTTCTGTAGCTGTCCATTTTACATCTTAACTAAAGGACCAAACTAATAGTGAGAGTTGCGTCCGTTCTCCTGTGCAATCCAGCTTTCATAGGTGCCTTAAAAATCGTATCACAAACCTTTCAACCAACCCCAAATTATACTCCCAGCTATCTCTTGTCTAATCATAGACACCAAGCTACAATTATCCAAACCAGCTGACCCCACGCTTTTCCCATGGAAAGCAGACTAGGGACCCCGAGCCACGAGATCCCCCTCACTCTTGCCTCTGACCAAGCCTGGTGCCCGCAGCCCATGAGCCTGTGTGACACGCTGTGTCCGCTTCGCTTGGGAAACATCAGTGCTAAATTCTGTTGGTGACAGTGAGCTCTCTGTGTCACTTGGTGATCTTTACGAATTAACACCAGGGTACAAACCGTGTAAATCCAGTTCACTGTCTGTCAAAGTCAAAACATGAAACCACGGACGAAAAGGAAGCTGTTAGGAGAGTGTTTATTGGAAGTGACCCGAAGACCAGCTCCCGGCGTGGAGGGGTCCCAGGCATGTCCAGCACTTTTCAGGGGAAAGTAGAGGACGAGAATTGTTCTCTAGCCAGTGACCGAGTGTCACAGTGGCTCTAAAATGGGCTTAAATAACCAACTGGAATCTGGGTCTCTAAACCAGTTACCCAGAGTTTAAAGGAAACTGATTTTAAAAGAAAACCAATTATTCTGCATCTTTGAATTTCCTCCAAACGGGGCCCTAAATATCGGCATGGGTTGCACTCCGAGGTGCCCAAGGAAACTCCTTCTCTGGTCAAAGTCCCAGTTCACTGCCTTTTTTATTTACCTTTATGGTCTGGCTGACCCGCCAACCCCACCTCAGTTCCCTCCTCTAGCTCGCTGCCTATTCATAAGCCAGCTAAGTAAATTGCCTTTTACAAAATTATTAGTCTGGAAGTTAAATCACTGGCAGATTCCAGCGCCTCTTGGATTTAGGCTCGTAGTGATCCATTTTAGTTCTGCCTCTGGTCCTAGGTTTCCACAGGAAGCCGTCAGGGTTCTCTAAAGAAACAGAACCAAGGCTGCGTATGATGGAGATTTCCTTAGGGGCTGGGCTTACACAGTTAGGAAGGCTGCCAGGTCCTAAGTGGGCAGAGTGGGCTACAGCTGGGAGCCCAGGAAGGGATGAGATTATAGTCCCTGACCTGGGGAATCTCCTCCTGGTCGGGGGAGAGCAGTCCTTGGCTGGACGCTGATCTTCCGCTGCCTGGATAGACCCATGCCCGTCATGGTACAGTATCTGTTTTACTCAGTGTACAGTTTAAATATAAATCTCACCCACAAATACCCTCGCATAAACATCTAAAGTAATGCTGAACTGGTATCTGGCCACCATGGGGCCTGCAAGTTGACACATAAAATTAGTGATCACTGAGATCCTTCTAATGTGGCCGGATTTGAACTCCAGGCCGTGGCTCTCAATGGCAGAGGAGATCATCTCCACACTGAGTCTCTCAACGTCTGTCTTCTCTGTTATTTTCAGCCTTCTGGCTGCAGATTTCCAATGATGCCCTGGCATTTCTCCCCATCGATATGTAGCTTAGGAGTCAGTCAAGGATTTAAGGGAGGATTTCAAGCAGAGTTTGGTTCTGTTGCTAGGGCTGATCCATTTCAGGAATGGTTCCCCTGACTGCTTCGAGTCCCATCTTCTGTCCCCCCAGCCCAGTGAGACCGCTAGGCTCCTGCTGCACAAGCAACGTAAACTGGGTAAACTGGGCCACGTTCGCAGGGACAGCGCAGGGTGAGCGGGAAGCTGCTTGTCTGCCCCCCTAGCTTCTGCCTTCTTTTGGTGGCTCTTTTGTGCCTTTGGACAGTTATTTTAGCACGTTCTGCACCGAGTTTATCACTGTGACCGGCAAAGAAGCTGGACTGAGACATGTGTCTGTCATCACTGGCTTTAGAATCAGTTATTTTTTTAAAAATATATTTGGAAATCTTCATGCAAAGAAACATCTTTGTACTGGGAATATCGTGCATGTGTGAGTTTGGGTGTGGTGCTGGGGACTGAGCCCAGGGCCACATGCCGGTCCCTTGCACGCTGAGCTGCAGCCGGCCTCTGCATTTTTATTTAAAGTTTTTAAAAAATGTGATTGGCCAGTGTAGACTGTCTAATTTCAATCATTTGCCATTTGCTGAGATTATTTTTGTTTTTTTTTTTGCAGCTTACTTAATACACACCCCAAACTCGGTGTCCTTGGCAGAGGTGGCGTAAACCCTCCTGCTGTTCCTCCTGAGCTGTCTGTCAGCCTCCGTGCACGGCAGAGCAGTGATGTGGATACAGACAGCTTCACGGAGGTGCTGTTATCTTAGTGGCTTCTCTGTGTCTAACGTTCTCTCTACCTTGTCAGCCTTTTTACTTGAATTCAGTTTTCTTTTTGGCATCACTATTTCTGTCTGTTTTAGCCTTTGCCTAATAACTCTTTTTTAAATCTCTTAATTTTCAGTCACGCTATGACTTTTACTTGAGATGTGTTTCTTATAAATACCATGTGGCTAAGTCTTTTGAAATCAAGATAAACCCTTTGGGGAGGCGATGGCTCAGCAACACAGCCTTTTCTGGCAAGTGCAAGGCCCTCAATTCGATTTAGGGTTAAAAAAAATCAAGATAAATCTTTTTAAGAGGTGCGTTTTGTGAAAACAAGCAATTAATATTATATATTTAGACTTATTTTTATGACCCTGTTTTTATTTATTTACATTTTTTGTTTATTCTTTTTTCTCCCCCCCCCCATGTTTTGGACCATAAGTATTTAGATTTCCATGCCTTTTGTTCTAAATTTCAAGACTTTTTCTGAACTCTTATTATGCAAATTTAATAGTGTTTATCTGTCCATGTTGACAATTAGCCAGTGCTCTGTACTCTGTCTGGTAATAGACTGCATTAAGACCCTAGTGGAATGCTTTTAGATCTCTCCTCCCCTTTCTCCTCCACAACCTCCCATGCTAAGGTTGCGTGGGGTTTTAGTGCATGGAGTTAATATTACCATTTTCAAAACAACCATCCCTCACTGAAACATAAATTTAACTCCCTTTTGCCTCTTCCCTGGTCTCACATACTCCTCTTAAAATCATTTTTCATTTTGCTGGAGCTCACTTTCTCTCTCTTCCAGAGTGTGTTACTTGAACAGAAGTCTTCTGAGTTTTTGCACTTGGGAGGTTTTCATTTTTGTTTTTTGCCTTCTTATTTGAGTAGCAGTTTGGTGCAAGATGCTGCAAGGCCTCATCATTTCTCTTGAAAAGTTTGAAAACACGGCTCTCTCATTTCTGTTCATGCAGTTCTGTCGAGGGAAGTCTAAGTCCCGTCCCAGCCTCCTAGGTTTGTGGTAATTTGATTTTCTCGCTCTTGGTACCTCGGATTGTGCTTGGATTCTCCTGGGTGTTGTTGGCCTTCCTTCTGAAGCTCTGTAAAGGCGTGGCCTCTCTGTTTCGTGTGTTTCTTTCTTCTAGAACATTCATGGTAGGATGCATAGAACTTCCCTGTCTCCCAGTGGACTCTGTTTCCTGCCTTTTTGCAACTAACTTTGCAAAAGACAAAAGAATTTCATGGAAAACTGGACAGCCCAATGTCCCAACACCTCAGGACCTAGTCTGACCCTTGTCAGACACTTCCCCACCCTGCTTCCGTGTAGCATTAGCCATGGGCGCCATGACTTCACTGTGGTCTCTGACATTCCTGAGTGCTGGCCCCCGGGAGCCAGGATGCCCCTTCTGCGGTGGTCAGGTCTCCTCCTGCCGTGCCCCATCAGCACCCTCTCACCTCAGAACGGCACCTGCTCATCTGCTTGCCCACAGCCTTGTCTGCCTCAGGGCCACAGCTCTGTCTTCTGTGCTCTTCCCATGGTACCTGGTACCATGCAGTAGGGCAGGGGGCATTTATAGTGCATTCACAAGTGTCGGCTTAGCATGCAGCAGGAAGACGGTAGCCATCCTCCAGGGTCATCGAGGTAACTTCACAGGTAACTAAGGTGAGAGTGAGTCGCTGTCAGAAGACACGCAAGCACAGGTAGTAATCGGTGAGCGGAAGGAGGTCCTCAGCCCACTAGGTTAGAGTTCCTACCCTGAGTCCATCTGCTAGGGGTGGGCTCCAGGATTCCCCCAGGAGAACCCACACCAGCGGATGCTCGAGTCCCTGAATAGAGGAGGCTATCTGCACATAAACCACAGCACTGCTCACTGCAGAGGGCACAGATGGGACAGCCACTTGCACTGCGTCTTCCGGGTTAGGAGGCCCCCCCACTGTGCTGGAGAGTCACCTGTCCCTCCCCTTTGAGGATGGGGCTCTTCACGGTGGGCTGATGGGGGATGGTGAGGGGTGTGCACATACCGTGGATGCTCTGGGGCCTCTGGATAAGAGGACAAGGTTTGTCACCCCTGGCATGCACCTCAGTGACAGGGGGAGCTGCCCGGGTAGGAATGGCCCCCAGTTCAGTGCTGTGCACCCAGACATTGGGAGTTGGGACTGCTCCCCAACACTTTCCAAGAACTGCTTCCCCTGTTGGAAAGGGCTTGTCAAGAAAGCTTCTTAGATGTCCAACAGGACCAGGTGGACTCCAAGGCCCCAGCCCATGTTGCCTCATGGAAGAGGGAGGACACTGCCATCCAGCCTATGGACACAGGATAGGGATGTTTCCATCAGCGATGGGCCACACATATGGCATCACCTGGGGATGTCAACACCATCTCAGTCCACGTGATGGTACCTACAGCATCCATACAGCGATGAACCCCCTAAGTGCGAACTTCCTGAACACGTCCCCATCAGAACAAGACATCTGACTGTGTTTCTGTGGTCAGTACATGGGAAATTTTCAGGGACTGAGAATCAAGGGACTTTCCCTTCTGTTCACAAATATTTCTGCCATTCAAAACCAGATGCTTTAATTAAAATGCTGCTAAAAGAAGCCAATCAATTAACAGATCCCTTACAAGATGATTTATTCTATCTTATGCATGGACAATTGCTGGAGCACCATGTTACTGCTCCGGGTTATCAGTTAACAAAGGCTGCTAATGAAGAACATTGTTATCCAGTCAGGTAAAAGATGCCCTGGGAATCCAGGCAGATGATTCTAAAACAGCGTCTAGTTTTGAAATGTAGCTCGCCTGGTGTCCTGCACAAGGAGGGCACCTATCCGAGGAGAAGCAGCGTACACAGCCACCCGGGCCTCTGCAGAGGGAAGAGGCCTCCGGCATGCAGCCCTAGAAATGTGAGTTTGGTGACACAGGCAAGAGAAGCCTCAGACCAAGGACAAGGAGAGATGATGGAGGTTTCCTGGGCCCCTGCCGATCATGATCTCTGTGCATATGTCACATACATGTGACCGTCTGCGCGGCACTGTGGCAGGAGGGTGACAGTAGCTTGCCTTGCAGAGCTCAGCACGAGCATGCATCTGCTTTCTTACTCGATGCTTTGTTGTTCCTCCCCTTGAGGAGCTGAGAGCCACAGGCCAGAACCGGGCTGCCAAGGGCCCCTGCGCTCACGCTGACCAGGCTGCCCTTCCCTCTCCGCAACTGTGGCCCAGGGACAGTGCTGGAGCCTGGCTCCCAGGGTCCCTGTCCCCCTCACTGTGCACAGGCTCCCTCTGCAATGTGGGTCCTGGCAGTTACAAAGGATAGGCCAGCGTTTACGGAAAGAGCTGCGTAAGGCTGCTAAGATGGGGTGCTAAGGAAGCCATGGCTTGTTAGGGTCCCATTCCCATAAGCCATTGCAGGGGCAGATCCAGGAACAGCTCCAGCAGGAGCACCAGGTCAGGGCTGTGGGTTTGCTGGTTCCCATTTTAGCCCACAGCTGGCTAACATCCTCCCTGTGTGGGGAGCCAGCTTCTTGCAGAGGAGGAGTGGTCTCTTTTGGCAGGGCAGAGGCACTGTGGATTAGAGTCCTTTGGCTCGGTCATTTGCTGCCCACGCAGAGTCCCCCTGGGGTTCCATTGCGAGCCTTGGGCGTTTGAATGAAAACATCCTGAAATCAGAGTGTGGGTAGCTGTTCAGGCGGCTGGGCCTCTCCTGCCTCGGCCACTTGTCCCAGCTCAATCACCCGGGCTTCTCTGGAAAGGAAGAGAAACATCAGAAGACCTGGTGACGGGGTAGCAGGGCCCCACCTGATCCCTATGTGAGCTATACACACAGTAAGCAGGTATGCAGGAGTCCAAGCTCTCAGGAAACCCAGCAAAACAGGGCAACTCTTCGTACAAGACACAGCCCTGGTGGCCAGCAGCTTCCAGGTACAGCACAGCGTTTTCCAGAACAATTTCAACCTTGAGGTCGTTTCCTGCCCACCAACCCCAAAGCCACAAAGCCTCCATCACTTTGATTAGAAGAAGGGCAGAAGTCATTTCCTGAAGTCAATAGGTATATTTGGGGGAAAGGAAACCTCTCTGCAGTTGAAGAATTTTATACGGCTAGGCAGACACTGCAAGGAACGGTGCAGGAAAAGTCCCTAGGAAATGAGGCCCTGGACTGCAAACTCCAGGCTGTCGTGAGAGTCACCATGGGTGTTACTCAGCATAGACAGGGGGCAAGCAGGGTGGATGTGTTTTTAAATTAAACAGAGTGGTGCAGAGGGAAGAGTGAGGTCTCTGTGCAGTCACTCGGGGCTGCAGACCTCACTGGCACCTCCACGCATGACACCGATTTGCACCAACACTGCAGATTCACATCTGAGACGCCTGCAGCTGTAGAATAGTGCACGCACTTCTGCGCCCACCAAGCCATGCCTGTGCAGGTCCAGTTACCATCCCGACATCGCAAGGGAGCAGCAGCAGAAAGACAGAGCACAGACAGGCACCCACGGGCCAAGCCAAGGGCCGTCAGATGGACAGCATGTGTTCACCAACCAACGACACAGGTCCAGGTCAAGGCTGCAAGGCTGGATGATACGGAGGCTTCAGCTCGATGACGCCGAAGATGAGCAGGTTGAAAGCGGAGGGGGAGCAGAGAGAGATGGCGGGAGGTTTCCCACAAGGGTGACCAGGCCGGGAGTGGGGCATCTCTGGGCCCAGAAAAAGGTAGTGTGGAGTCCATGCACAGAGCACCCCGGGGGTGAGCTGAGTCCGTCTCTCCTGCGCCGTGGAACCGCATGGGTTTCCTGCCATGAGGCAGGCTCGTGCACTGTGTTCACTGGCACTGAGCACGGTGGCTTCGGCCAATGCAATTGGGGACCAAAAATCAGTTAGGGGCCTAGACCTGAGACGGGGGGATCATCGGCACTTTGGCGGTTAATGCAGTATTCATAACCGTCAGAGGGATCCAGAGAGGAACAAAAGGCAGCTGTCAAAGGCTTCATCAGAGAGGCTCTGTGATGTTAACATGCTCAAAAGTCAGTATAGTCAATGACCAGATCAGAAACATAATGGGAAATTGTAGAAGAATAAAACAAAAACCAAGATCAAAACAAAATACTTAGGAATGAGCTTAACCAGAAATGCGAGAATTTTGTAAGTGTGAAATTGGAGAGTTCTTAAAACGCATGAAAACAGGCTTGCAAAAAAAAATCTTTATAACAGGAATGGGGTAGGTATTAGGTAGGTGTGGGCTGCACAGCACCGCGCTGCTGGGGGAATTTGTGTGCTATTAGGCAGGAGCTAGAGGGTAAAATCCTCACAGGACCGAGGACTGGGCTTTCCTCTTAGAACCCGGAGAGGCTGGGAAAATACCGGGGAGCTCGAAGCTTTTACAATTCAGATGCTTGTCTGGCTACGCTCAGGCCCAAGGCTTGGTTTCTAAACATCACTCTGCAGTGAATTTAAGAGAGAGAGAGACAGAGACAGGCAGAGAGAGACAGACAGAGACAGAGAGAGATACAAGGGAGAGAGAGATACGGAAAGAGAGACAGAGAGAGGCAGAGACAGAGAACAGAGAATGTAGGCAGGGAGGGAGGCAAGGAAAGGAGGGGTCCTAGGGAAATGGGTGATTGCAGATGGGGCCAGGTGAGCTGGAAGCTGTGTCTTGTCGCAGTCTAGCAGGTGTTGTTGGACAAGAGTCCATTTGCAAGAACTCAGAGGCCACCAAAAAATGACAGGCACTGGCTACATTTGGGGCAATTTGAACATTAAAAGGACTAAAATGCACAGTGATAATACTCAGCCAGTGGGAGAGGAAAGAAAGTGGAAGGCTGGTTTCCCCCAGCCGAATGTCAGCTATGAACCGGAGAGAGCTGGATGCTCTGTCTCGTGAGGACCCCACGCAGTAATGAACGGCACCAACGGGTGCCGACAGAGGAGGTCCGTGCTCCTGGAACTGTAGGTACCTGAGGATCCGCATGGCCTCACGTGCCAGCTCTCTGTCCGCTAATCTGCGACAGTCACTTCCTCAGCTGCACCACCAAACTCAGTGTCACCAGCAGTGAGAGGGCCTGGCGTCCTGTGCTGTCGAAGTACAGGACGGGATGTGCCGTGTCCCCTCTGCGGCAGCCTTGACAAAAGAAACCACAGCACATCTGCTCTAGAGAAACAAACCAATCTAGAGAACAGGATGCTCGATAGGACAACTGGCCCGGGATTCTGAAGCCACTGTGCCTGCCGTGAGGTGGAACCAGAGTGACCAACGATAAACGTGACGCTCCTTCATGGACTGGACAAACAGGAATAAAAGATGATTTTGAAATCATCAGGACTACAGGACCCTGGCTGGGTGCCATGTATTACTGATTCAGCACTCCCTTTCCCGGGTAGCGGTGCCCCTGGACTTGTGATTACTCGGGACATACAAGGATGATGTGTTTAGAGGTGAGACGTTGTGATGTCTACCCTGAATTCTGAGTGGATCCGCCCCAAAATGTTACATTCACAGAGATAAAGCAAAGGAGGAAAATGTAGCGAACCAGGGGTATGTTTTTTTGATGGCACGGTTCTTTCAACTTTTTGGTGCATTTGAAGATTTCTCAAATAGAAAAAGGGCACAGAGTGGATGGGAGGTGGCCCCGGCCTGGTGATGTTCCTGGGGGTCACTCTGGGTTCAGCTAGGGATGTGGCTCGAGATGCAACCATGGGATGAACCACTAGGGGCGCTCTCTTTCTGTCCCTTGCTGATTCTGAGACCCCCAGCAAGGGACTTTCCAGTGGCATCCCCAAGGGAGGCTGGTTTGGGCTCACCTGGCTGCGCTGACACAAGGCCTCTGGCTGATGGCCAGCAGTCCCTCCTCGCCACGCAGAGGAGCCACCAGACACTGCCCCTGCCCCCGCCAGGTGCCTGTAACATTCCCAATACCCTCTTTTCTGGCAGTGCTGGGGATTAAACCAGGGCCTCTGAGACACTTTCTTGCTAAGTTACTACGTTGCCCAAGCTGATCTCCTATTTAGGATCTTCCTGCCTCAGCCTCCCACAGTGCTCCAATTCTCTCCTTTTATTATGGTGACTATACTTGTAACCCATCCCTTGGAGAAAAGGAGGCTTAGCTTGAAAACGAAAGAACAGGATGCTGCTGAGTGAAGAGGCCCGGGTGACACACAGCACACGCAGCACTCTCCCGGGAGGAGCCCGATCAGCCGACCCTTGGCTGTTCCTCGGGGTCTAACATCTTCCTGGCTCAGCTGCTCCGCTCTGTAGTACGCACAGGTGAGCTGTGCCTCTGCTCCCCACTAGCTCCCCCATTTCTCCCTCCCCTGCACCTCTTCCTGTTCCTTCGGGTGGCACTTTGCTTTTGAGGTGCTTACCGCTCTGCCGCCGCCCTGCAGGGTGATGGGATCTGCCTCCGCCAGCCCCAAGCCTCGAAATAACCCAGCGCCTCTGCCTCTTTCCTCTTCCTGCTCCCGGCAGGCCCCAGCAGCGGGTCTGGGGCCCACGGAGTCCACAGCACCACTGCCCAACCCCAGCAGGACTCCTCCCACCTCGGTCATGAAGACGCACAAGTCTCTCCGCCCCCCAGAAACCCCCGGCACCCTCCCTCCCACGCCTCCCTCCGCTGGGCTCTGCTTCTGCTGGCTGCTCTGATTGTTGGCTGCGCTGCCAGGGCCCGGCTATGTGACCTTCGAGTCCCCACCCCGCAACCCTGCTTCCCGCTGCTGGGCGCTCCTGCACCCTGAGACACCGGAGCCCTTCCCTGGTGAGCCCTTCCCTGGCAGCTGTCTCCTGGGACCCGGCTGTGACCCCTGTGACAGACAGAGGCAGTGCCTGCCCGAGGCCTCTCGCTCAGCCCCCACTGGGCACACACAGGAGCACCCACTTCTGCCAAGGGGACCCTGCCTTCAAGGAGCTTGCAGTGCGGGGAGAAAAGGGCGGGACTGGACAAGTTACTGTCACAAATGTCAACTCTAGAATGAGCTACAGAGAACAATGAAGACAGGGAGAAGAGAAGGATGGAGGGAGGGCACGGGTGCTGTCGACAACGGGTCACCTGACACTGTGGCAGAGAGGAGGAGGGGATGGGATGGAGGTTTGCAGCTGTCTAGAAGGAACCTTCTGGGTTAGGGAACAGCAAGAGCAAAGGCCCTGAGGCAGGCAGGACAGCATGGAGACTGGGTGACAGCAGCATGGAAGCAGCACAGCTTGGAGAGGAGGGTGCAGGGGGACCTCCTGTGCATGGCAGAAGTCCCCTTACCTCATCGACAAACTCCTCTTCTTCCTCTGCACAAATGGGTCTAAAGAGAGAAATCGGTGTGTTAATCCATGAGAATCCTGGGCTGGTCTGGGGCAGTGTCCTGGTCCCACACTTCTCTGTCCAGCCCCTGGACCCCTTGGCTGAGTACACAGGTGGGGTGAGGGTGCTCTGTGGGTGACACCATGAGACCCTGATGCAGACACTCATACCGTAACTGCCTGGCGTCCATCCCTGTGATAGCCCTGCTCCGTCTGATTCTTGAGGGGCCCCTCGCTGCCCACATCACTGCACCAGCAGCACCCCCCACCCATGGTTAGGGCCACCTCAGCCCCTGGACCAGGCCATCTGACCTCATCACTTGAATAAGAGAACTTTTCTATCCAAAGCCCATTTCAGCTCTTCCCATCTTTCTCCAGCAAACCTGCTTCTCGGGAACGAATCCGAGAGACTGAGGACAGACGGACAGGAAAAGAAGACAGCGAGAGGCAGAGGGAGATGCAAAGAGAAGCCGCTGTCCTGCCTGAGCCCTGCTGGGCTTGGTGCTTTCCATTCCTTCCTGCCCTCTTTTTGGAGCTGCCTCTGTGCCCCAGGTTGGTAGCATCGAAGGATACTGCCCGCTATAGTTGGAATCTTGACTGTCCCCCAGGGGCCACCTCAGGCCCAGAAGCAACAGGATCCAGTAACCATGGGCTGAAACCTCCACCGCTGGGAACCTGAATACATCTTTCTTGGGGAGCTGTGGTTGGGGTGTTTGGTTGCAGGGAGGGAATCTTGACTGCCCCCCTCAGTCTCAGCTGAAGCTGCACGGCGCGCGCTGAGCGCCAGGTCCCTCACCAGTGACGCCCCGGGCTGTGCTCCGCAGCTCCGCAGAGTCCTGGTCTGACAGGTGCTTCCGGATCATGCAGATCTTCAACACCAGGAAGCCCACACAGATGGCGACACCCAGCGCAGTCCCGATGAGGGCATATTTGAAATCTAGAGCCAGAGAGACACGGCACACATGGCTCGGTGTCTGCCCTGCTCCATGCTTAGCATCCCGTGCCACAGCCGAGGAGACCGTGCCCAGAGCACATTTGTTCCCTCCTTCCCCGCTCCCTGGAACCAGATCCCACAGGCAGTCACTTACCAACCTCAGCCTCTGCAGACTCGCCAGTGGCCAGTACCCGAGCTCCTCCGACCCCTGCAAAGAAAGAGAACTCAACCTTCTATGTACCCACGGCTGCCTGGAAGAGAGCTGCAGGGCACGCCAGGGCCCAAACCGGAGATGTGGCCACCCTCCCATCAGCCTCCCCTCAGAAGCTCTGCCATCCGATGGCCACAGAGTCCAGAGCCCTTGCTGGGACCTCAGAGCCTGCCCCACGCAGGCCCTTAACAGTGTCCAGCAGCCCCGGCTCAACCCGGGCTTACACTCCCTGCCTCTGGGCCACTCCCTTGGCCTGTCCTCATGGAAGCTGGTCCTGCCAGAGGGGGTGGTGGGTAGTCCACAGCCGGGTTAACTGCCTTGCCAAGAGACTCCAGAGCCACTGGGCTTAAAAGACCATCGCTTAGGGCCTGGCTGGCCACGCCCACACACCCTTTCCTGGTCAGCCAACCATGCCCACATCCTTTACTTTACACTCAGCCCTGTGGCGATGGGTAACTCCCAAATGTCCATCTCCTTGCTGGTTTCCCCAGCAGGCTTCACAACACAGTGTCTGGTGGGTGACCCAACACCTGACACACAGCAAGTCTCAACAGATGTTCCCCGCAGGCAGGCAGCGAGGGGCAGGTGACAGCATCCTGTGGGGTGCTGCACACCTCCAAACCTTAGGATGGGATTCAGGAGGCACAAGCTGTGGCCTGGTCTCGCAGTCAGGCTGGAGAGGCACAGTGCTCTGGTGGAAGCGGGCGCTGGCCAGCCAGGTCGATACTTCCCTACTGGTGCAGTGGAGGCCTCTGTGCGGGACTCAGCCACAGCTTGGTGCATGTGGCACCGGGAAGGAATGACCTTCTGTGCACGCAGCCTGAAGACGAAAGCCCCATGCAGCATGCCCAGGGCAAGGGGTGGGAGGTGGCCCAGCTGCCCTGAGAGAGGCTAGGGTACAATTCTGTCCTCTGGCTTTACACACAGGGCCTCTCCAAGGCTCAGGGGCGGGCCCAGAACCTCAGCTAGGACCAAGTCCTGTGCATATTGGCCTTCCCCGGACACACAGCTACAGGGCCAGTTTAGTTTGTAAATTATACTCGGTGAAGAGATGACCTGTTACTAGAAGTAAAGTAGGTTGGCAAAACGGTACACTATCAAAAGTCACTTAAAGTTTGAGATGGTCTGTTGCTGGAACTTTCTTACTAGTATTTTCAGATCATGTCTGACCACGGGTGACGAAAATCTCAGAAAGCAACACCTTCTATATGGGGAACTGTACCCCCCAAACCAGCAAGGTAGGCAGCTGAATGGGCTTGAGCTAGGGGAGAAGACAGGGAGAACTGCCACCCGGGGCCCTTGGGAGAGGGAAGGAGGAAAGGAGATGACGCTGGAGTCCAAAATGCACCTTTAGCCAGTGATGCAGGCACATGTCCTAAATCCCAGCACTCTGGGAGGCTGAGGCAGGAGGATTTCAAATTCAAATCCAGCCCTGGCAACTTATGAGCCCCTCCCTATCTGAGAATTTAAAGAAAGAAAAGAAATTAAAAAGCCTGGGGATACAGCTCAGTGTGAAGGGCCTAGTTTAAATCCCCAGTATGGCAAAAAAAAAAAAAAAAAAAAACACCAAAAACCTGATCTCTGCCTTGCCCAGCTCCTCCCCGTCCAGTGGCCAGGACCTGCTTTCAGCAGCTCTGACCAGCCCCACCCACTAGACACTCCCACTCCTCCCTATGATCAGTGTATGATCAGTGCTTTTGGCCCCAGCTGTGTCCCCTTCAAGCCCCTTGAGCTCCAGGCTCTCAGCCCTGGGGTCTCTAAATAGGGACTCAGCTCTTCACTGCTGAGAACAAGCCCGCGGAGGCCTGGCCGTGTGTTCTCTCTGGTGGCCGCGGCCTGGAGCTCCTGCTAGCCAGTCTGCAGCCGCTGGGCGGCAGCCTTTCCCTCCGCAGGGACGGAGCCTCCTTGCCGCGGGAGCTGGAGCCCTGCCCTGCTCCTTTGGGGGCCCTGGCCTCAGACTCTGCAGGCACAGAGGCGACTGACTCCCCCTGCGGCCCACCACTGGTGCATGGGGGCTCTGCCTAGCACGGCCGGGACTCCAACATTGTGGGGGGAGCCTGCAGGAGGAGCTGGGCAGGCTCTCGCACCCAGGAGGAGTATGCAGGGGTGGCGGGGCTCCCTGAGAAAGGGCCTCGAACCCCTCCCCTGCTCCTGCCTCCCAAAGCCCTTGGGACTTTCCACAGCCTCCGTGTGGGGCCTGGGGGCCCAGAACTCAGATAGAATTTTGTTTAGACTTATTCTGCTTTGTTTTGCAGTTCTAGGGTACAACCAAGACCTTGACACTAAGCTGCATCCTCAGCCCGTTTTACATTCATTTTGAGGCAGAATCTTACTAAATGTCTAAATTGTACAGGGCGGACTCAAACTCGGAGGGCTCCCACCTTAACCTCCCAGAGAATTCTTTCCTAGGCATGTCCCAAAGGGCTCCCCGAACTCTCCATCCCAGAGTCTGTGCTCTCCTCAGATGCCCCATTACCGCTGCTCTGCCCCTCCTGCCAAAGCGGGGCTTCCAGTTCCCTCCCTGCAGCTCTGCCCACTTCAGTCGGCTGAGCCAGTGGCTTCCGGACAGCAAGGGGCCTCCTGCAAGCATCACAGGCCCTGGAAACCATGAAGGTGACAGGCAGGCGGCAGGGCTGCAGGACAGCCAAGCAAGCTGCTTCCGTGAGAGCCAAGCACACAGCCTTGCCCAGCTCCCTGGAACCCGACCCCTCTGAGCGTCCCTGGCATGCGGGCCTCTGGGCTGTGCACCTGTCAGGCCCACCCTCGCGGGGGCGGTCGCCTCTGCCACCCTTATTTGGGCAGCACCAGGCTGAGTGAGCACTCAGATGTCATTCTATAAGTATCTGGCCTAAAAATAGGGAGACGCTGCCCTGAGTGTGCGTCCCTGCCTGGCAGAGTCCGTCCTGGAGCTGGAGTATTGCAGGGTGGCTCCCACGACGCCTCAGGAATTCCGGCATTCGCAGCCAGAGGAGTTTCAGCTGCCTGAACTGGCGTCCATCCGCCCCTCCCAGAGGCCACAACATACACAAGGCCCCAGCAGAATGCTCCAGGAGCTCTGGGGTCCAGGCCAACCAAGGCAACCTGAACCCACATCCCCCAGAGAGATCACAAGGCATCAAAAGAGACAAAAAAGTGTCAGCGTGTCTTGGGATGTTCACACCTTCCTGCAAAAATCAGTGTCTGCGCTGGAGGGAGTTGAACCGGGATCAGCATTGGTAGCTGTGGAGTGGGCTGCCCCCCTCCTCCACGCCTCGTCTGCTAGTGGCCTTGGCTTTGCTCCTGGAGACCAGCCCTGTGGGATGCCCAGGGAGCTGGCTTTGTAATGGACTGGGGACCCACACTGATTAGTTAGCATATTTCTCCTTCCTGTCGATAGTAACCTGTGAAACCCAAGAAGATTCATTTGAAACTCGAGGAAACTACAAAATGCAGGTGCATGTTATGGAATTATTAAGACGGGGCTGCTATGACCGGAAGGATCCTGGTGATGCGAGTGACAGATCTGCTGCAGGGTGGCTGGAGGTCAGGCTGGCGAGGAGAACACTGGTAGCTCACAAGACGCTCCACACGCGGTGTTGGGTACACATCCCTGCACATGCTGCCCTGTACTGCTCCTCGGAGAGATCGCCCTTCAAGATGGGGCACCAAAGCCACCTCCCCTTGCTGTGTGCAGCCCAGGTCCCCCTCCACCTCACACAGCTCTCCTGGCACTGTTTTCTGGTCTGCAGAAGCACAAGGACACCAACCACCCACGGGGTGCCATTTCTTCCCTGCACCCAGGTGACCCCTGAGACCACTAGGAGCTTGGACTCTGCCGCAGGAAATGCAAGGCAGAAAGGACCCAAGACCAGCTGAGCTGTCACCTGAAGCCACTAAGCACTAGAGCAGAAGTGGCTTGAAGTGCTACCTTCAGGGTTCTCTTGCTGGGAGATCTGGGGGTTCAGGAGCCAAGATCAGCCACAGGGGAGGAATCTAGTGGAGGCCTCGCATGTGGGGCTTGGGGACCATGGTGAAGCCTCCATCTTCCAAAGAGGCTGAGATCCTTGGGGCTCAGGGTTTAGTGACACACAGCTGGCACCACTTGACAGCTAGGAAGCTCAGGGAGAGACCTGGACCTGTGGCCCCTGGGCTCCATTTCACACTGTGGGACCCCAAGTCACTCCTCCCCTGGGAAAATGGGGACTCGTGATGCTGGTGTACTAGGAAGACTCTCCAGAAAGTGCTCCTCTTCCACCCTGTGCCTGAGGCTACCCTTGGTGGGCTGACTTGAGTTAGGAGCACTTGCTCCTAACTCAGCTCATTCAGGGTCTGCATGCTGACAGCTCTGTCCTTCCTGGAGATCCAGAGCCCTTCTCCAGTCCAGAAAAATGGGGCTGCAGCCTGACCCCATCCCGTGGCACAGGTTCAGCCCTCTACTAGCAGGTGCATGAGCACAGCAGATCATGGCTCCTGCTGATACCACTGTGACCTGCAGAGACCACAGATGTCCACCGTGACCCGGGAGCTCTTCCTGGGCACCTCCTCCTGTCTCATCAGAGCTCGACTTTCCATCAGCAGAACCCCCTCATTCCACATGCCCATCGTGCAGCCCTCTGGGCCCTCTCCTCAGCCAGGATGGACCTGAGTCAGATCCTGAACCTACAAGCCTGAGCTGTGCAGTCTGAAAGAGGACCAGAGAGGGCCTTTGGGGTCAGAGGCCTGAGGATGCCCCATGGTTCCCACAGGTCCTGCACCCTCAAAAAGAGGAGTCTGTGGAGTGCCTGCTGTGCAACCCAGCAGAGCTGTCCTGGGTCCTGGAAGAGGGAGGACCACACCCTCGGGTCCCATGAGAGCCAGGAGCCAACGCAGGGGAGCAGCTGGGGTGCTGGCAGGGGGTGCACAGGCACCAAGGGTGGGTGAGGGGACCCGCAGCCAGCCTCAGGGTGGGGATCTGAGCTGCCGAAGTGCAGTGCAGTCTGAGTGACATTCTGTGTCTTCCCCTTCGGCCCATGCCACCATGGATATGGGCGAGCTTCAGCCAGAGGCTCACCAGGGTCAGCTGAGCAGGAAGCAGGAGACCCCTGAAGGCCACCATGCAGACGGCAAGGCCACGGAAGCACAGAGCAGGAGCAGTGCCCTGGCGCCCCAAGGAAGAGGAAGACAGTCAGGGGTGCGAGTGACAGGCACTGTCACACTTGTGCACTTGGCTTTCCCAGAGAATTTTTGCTAATTAATTCTTAGATTTGCTTGCTGGGAACGAGGCTCTTGGCTGGCCGAAGCCAGACTGATTGGTACCTTTCCAGGCTCACGGGTGCTGACAGGGGAGCTGCCCGGGCCGGAGATGGAACCAAGGGGGACCCTTCGGGCTGGGCACCTTGTGACCAAGACGAGGTGACACTGCACTGGGAGCAGCTGCAGCCCCAAGGGAGATTGGGTACACTCCCGAGGCAGGCAGTGCTATCCCAGGACGCTACACAGGACACGGCCTGTCCTTCCTCACTGGGAGGGGCCTCGGATTCCCACCAGGATACTGAGAGGGAGGAGGCTGGGTCAGGAGCCTGTCCAGAAAGTGTGGCTGGAACCCAGGGTCTCCATGCAGTCACTGGTCAGCCAGGGCCTGGTGCTGGTCTCAGCTTGGTGGCCCCCTTAAGTGATGGAGGTGAGTGTGCTGCCTTCCCACTGGCAAGAAAGCACCCCACAGAAGACGTAGTCTCTGCTTCCTGGGGCCTTTCAGAAGTGGGGAGCAGAGCGACCTGGAGGCCACCCTGGAATTAGGTGCTTAGAGCAGGAAGGGGCAGCCAGCGCCCGGAAGTGATCGAGATGCGCCCTGCCAGCCTTTCATGGGGGGACTGGCCATGGACGCTGGAGCTCCCCCACCCACCCACCCAAACAGGCTGCTTCCAGGGCGAGGCTGGGGCCAGCCTTGCAGAGAGCGCGGGGGAGGCTGGGAGCCGTACAGAATAACTAATTAATGATGGTAAAGCATGGTGCAGGAGGAAAGCGCTGTATAACCACTAAGTGGTAGGGTTATTATTATTCATGCAATATTCATACCCTGATCTTCAGCCTCTGGGAAGCTTCGTCCTGGGTCCTGAGGGACCTGGCGGGAGGGGGGGGGGCACACGTGCCCAGGGAGGGAGCCGTGGGATGGCAGCAGGGCCTGTTAGCAGTCCCAGGAGGCCATGCCCTGGCTTCTGCCTCTGTTTACCAGGGGCGGCTGGGGGAGCCCTTCGATACGCTGGGCATCTCTCTCATCTTTCCAAGGCAGATTCTGGGGTACACAGGCCTAGGACAGGCCATGCACCTTGATATTTAGGCTGTAAATCAAGCCACACACAGGGCCCGGCCTCCTCCCCAGTGCCCTGTGAGACCTTCCCTGGGTCCCTTCTAGAAGGGAAAGCTCAGATGCGGCAAATGTGGGTCGCAGTTCCAAGGAAAGAGTGAGACGAAGCCAGGTCACCTTGGGAGCTGGAACCCTTGGGGTTTCTACCCAATTTGTAGCTCCCCCAGACTCCCAGGTGGTGCTAAGTGGCTCCCAAGGAGCTGACCAGGTGGAGCCAGGGATGCAGGCATGCTCTCAGGGTCCACTTGTGACCTCCATGGAGGCCACCTCCACCTCCCTCCCTCTCTATGCCCAGGCTGGGGTCTCCACAGTCTTAACATCTGGCCTTTGCTTCCTTTGGGCTTGAGTGCCTCTGTGTGGGCCGTCGAATGCCTGAGCCCCAGCCTGAGGCTTGGAGGAAGGATATCGCTCCACCTTGAGAATGGCTGTCATCACCTCGAGCTGACAAAGCATCTTTGGAGACCACATATGACTCTGACCAGGGCTCTCGGACACTTTAGGAGGGTCTTCCCTGTCCTTTCTGTTCCTCTGGGCCTCTTCCCCGAGTCTGGTCTGCTGTCACACAGTGGGGACCCACCCTGCCTTACACTGTCTTCCCATGCTGCTGGACAGGGACCTAGACCTCTGCTCATGGGCTGCTTCCACGATGGGCCTGTGACAGGGCCAGCCAGCATCCCCTCTCCTGGAGTGCCTGGCTGCTTCTCCTGGAAACCTCACGACTTCAGCCCTGTGACCCAAAGGGAGGAGTACCTCCCCAAGGCTCCTAAAGCCCAGCAGAGCCAGATCCAGCTCCCTCTGCCTGGCTCCCGAGCCTACTCTCTGCAGGCCACTGCTGCCTGCTGCCTCCTCTCTCCGCACCCCCATCCGTGGTGGAGGCTTTCTTCTGTGCTGAGAGCCTCACAATCTGTCGCATCTGATTCCCACCTTTGCAGGGTCTCTACAGGCCAGCTCCCAAAAGCTACCACACGCTTTGTGTACCAGCTGACTCACAAACCAGTTGAGCTACTGGGCAGGTGCTGGGCCACGCATTGACCCAGCAGAGAAAGAAACGTGAGGACCTCTGTGGCTGGGCAAGGGGCAGAGCATGTGAGAAGGCCGTGGGGCCGGACAGGAGCACAGTGGGCATTCCCAGTGGCCAGAAGCAGGCACCCCAGGCTGAGGGTAAGGAATCTGATCACCGCCATCCTAGGCCGACACGAGAGCACTCTATAAGCCCTCTTCACAGCTTGGTGACCCCCCTCGGTATCAGCCCTGCGATTGACAGCAGCCCCTGCTTCCCATGCTTCCCCAACCCTTGTCCTCGGGCGACCATTTCCCCTTGTGCTTTCTCAAGCCTGACACCCATAACTAATGCCACCCTCCCTCAAGCCCAAGAAAAGACCCCAAACCCTGTACGAGAGGATTCCGTCTGATTTGAGGGCTAGAGAAGCCGCTCTCCGGGTTGTTCTGAAATAAACCTGATGTACTGAGCTTGGACCCAGCAGGAGTGCGACGGGTCTGTGTGGACACAGTGTGACCAGTGAGGTCCATGCTGACCGCAGTGGAAAGCTGCTGGAGGAGGTCATCCTGGCAAGTGTGCAATCACCGTCCCTTCTTTCTCCTGGGGACACTCCCTCCTTCGGGAGACTCTGGGACCAGGGAGGTGTATCAGGGAGGCTCAGTAGCTGCTTCCTAAAGCACTTACTCCATATCAGCCGCCTTCCAGGTGCTTAGAAGTTTATTTCAGACTCCCATTTCCAGGAGGGCAGGGTGGACCTACTCTAACCCATTCTCTCACTAGGAATAGCTAATCCCCCTCCCACACTATTAGATTCTATATGAGAAAACAGAGGTAAGTAAACACCAAAAGGAGGGGAGATGGACCAGGGACCTCGGGACCCCAGAAGTAAAAGCTGAGTGAATTTCCTTTCATATCACAACCCCAGACTGAGCACAAACAAACACATAAACAAACATAGAAGCCCCAGCTCAGCTTTCACCAACCAAAGGATCGGGAGGGGCAGTCTAGAAACCCAGAACTTTTGGGCTGTAACCAGTGGACTCTGGCACACAGCACAGAAACAACTGTGGTCTCATTGCACCCCTGCCTTGTCCAGGAAGCAAGTGGAGACCTGGATTTCCACCTAAACTGGACTGTGGTAAGAGCCCCAAATGCCTCACCAGTGCTGTTAGAGAACCACAGGGGAGCGGGACTTTCATCCCTCACAGATGAAAGAGGGCTTCGTTCCTGGGTGGTCTCCGGAGACCATGCAGGGAACCTGACTTCCACCCCAACTTGCCTGGAACAGGCATCCTCCCAGAGGAGGCTCATGGAGAGGCAGGATGGCCACCATCACCCAGCAGTCATGAGTCCACCCCACAGTGTCAATCCTGAACTATGTCTGTCCCTCCAGGCAAGGGGGGCATCTAAAGCACCCAGCGGGCATCCTGAACTGCTGCCCCGCCCAGCACTAAGCAAGAGTCCTGTGTCCAGCTGTGAGTGAGGTCAAGAGAGAAGGCTGGGTTCCTGATCACCTAGTGCACTGTAGAGAACCTATGACAGACACGCCACAGTGGGCTGTTTGTGTCACTGAAAACTAAAATGTTTGCAATCACTGACCTAGACATAATGAGGGAATGTCTCTGTCCTCCATCCAGAGTGATGCCTGAGCCTGCCCGTTAAAACAGATCTACTTTCAATGCATAAGACCCCAAATTCCCAGGGTTTAGTGGAAACCTAGTTGTATTAATATGGGCAACCCACTGACAACCTTAAAATGACCAAGTATTAAAATTATCAGACAATGATGTAAAAGTGGCCATTGTAAAAAAATTTAATGAGCAATTATGAAAATACTTGAAATAAATGGAAAACCACAATGGCTCAGCAAAGAAATGGGAAGTCTAAGCAAAGAACTGGAAGATGTAGAGAATTAAATGAAATCTTTGAACTGAAAAATACACTAACTAAAATAAGAACGATAATGGAGCTAATAGCAGAATAAAGAAGACAAAGGACAATATCAGTGAATTTGAAGTTGAAAAACAAAAATATCCAATCTGAATAATGGAGAAAAAAATTAAATTTTAGAAGTTAAAAGAGTTTCAAGAACTGGGATTTTAACAAACCAGGCTTTGCACTAACAAGGTCTTTGAAGGAGAGCAAGACGAGATCAGGATTGAAAAGTATTTGAAGAATAACAGCTGAAGACTCCATGCTTAGAGAAAGACGCACACTTAGATGCACTCAGTACTAAATGTCAGCAGGATAAACCCAAACCCACACCAAGGCATTTCACAGTCACAATAATGAAAACAAAACATAAAATAAAACCCTTAAAAACAATTATAAATGCCTTACACATACAAGGACAATAACTCATTTGAGAATGAGTTTCTTACCAGAAGACATAGAGACCTAAAAGAAGAGCAAACATTCAAACTCCACGTCCACTATAACTGTCCTTTGGGAAACAGAGGAGATGAACACATCCTTAGGTGAAGAGAGCCAAGAAAGTGTGCCATCCTCGGACCAGGATTAAAGGTAGTTCTCTAGACAGAAATGAAACGATAACATCAGAAAGTTAAAAGAGTTAAAATATGAGTAAGTGAAACAGATTTACATTCTTCTCTTAACATTTCTTAATATTATTTTTGACAATTACATGTGAAGGTAAAAAACTATAATATTGATGTCAGTCTCAAAATATATGAACACAGGGAAGCAAACAAAGTGTCACAGTTCTATGTCTTGCATTAACTGTCTATGCATTCATAACTCACTAATTATAAGTAGACTAAATTCACCAATTAAGAGATTATAATCTGCACAATAATTTTCTTTTTTTTGGCATCGTGGATCGAACTCATGACTGCCTGCTTGCAAGGCAGGCACTTATGCCGCTGAACTAAATCCCCAGCCCCTAGAATAAATTTTTTAAAAATCACCAAAATATGTGCTATCTATAAGAAACTCCAGCCTCACCTAGGTTGAAAGTCCAAGAATCTATAAAGATAAATCATGTGAACATGAAATTCAAATAGCAGTGGCTATGTTAATCAGATAAGAACAAAAAAAATTACCAGGGACAGAGATATGACATGATAAAGGAGGTACTACACTGAAGAGCTATAATAATTCTCAAAATCTATGCAATGAGCAACATACATGAAACAAAAACTGATAAATGGAAAAATAGGCAAGTACACAATTAGAGATTTTAACACCGCTCATTCAATGATGATGGAACAGCTAGATAGAATATCAGCATGATTAGAAAAAAAATCAACCACGCTAGCAAGCAATACCTATAAGACACCCCCAACAGTATCACAATACATATCCTCTTCAAGCACCCACAGAAGACTTAGGACTGTTCTCTGGTCAAACCTTGACAGACTTAAGAGAACTGAAACTATACAGATTTTGTTCTCTGACTACAATAGAATTAGCTAGAAATCAGTATAAATAGATAACAAGAAATTTACAAATTGGAAAATAGCAATATTTCTAAATAACCCATGAGTTAAAGAGAAACTCTTAAGGAAAAGGTTTATTTATGAGCTGAATGAAAGGTAGATGCATCAAATTGGTGGGACATAGCAAAGCAGCTCTCGGAAGGAATTGAGCCTAAACGCTTGCAAGGCAAAGACTGAAATAAAGATGAAGATGCACATTCTGGTTTGATAACTGCTGGTTTTTGGAGTTCTATACTATATACAAAGTTGTGTTTTTATTAATACTGTTACGTACTGACATATTCAATTATACTATGTCTGACGATATAGCCAATTCTATTGGAGATACAAGAGACAACACAGGAGCTATCGTAGAACAATTCATACAATGGCCTTATATGTTTATTTCTTTTCATGTGTTTATAGGAATATGTTTTGTTTTGCCTTGCTTTGTTTTGTTTCTCCTTATAATATAGAAAGGATAGAAATACATGTTAAGACTCATGCATGTGTAGAATCTATAAACAGTTTAGGAGAACTGATCATATGACACATGATGAAATCAACAGATACTCTGAAGAAAAAGAGACACTAAAATACCCAGTGCTGATCCTGGAGTGTCACAATGTGAAACTCAGTAAATGTATTATTCTTTGTTCAGAGTTATATTAGCCTGCTTGGGTTTATTCAATCTCAACATAATTGAAGATATGGATAACTGCATGTATGTTTAAGCGTATTGGATTGATAACCATATTTCTAAGTTTTTGTTGGATACTTGAACAGAACTGGTTGCAATCTGACTTTTGAATCCCCACTTTATGAGCTCCACTTTAGTACCCTGAATAACTATTTGTAAGAAGACAATTTGTAATCATCAACTAGTGATTTCTTACCGTTTATATTTTTCTTTGAAATTATGTATTATTTCTACCCATTTTCTGTTTTGTTTAGTCTTTCTTTAAATTAAATTTTAAAAAAAGACACTACAGTACCCAGTGGTGATCATGGAGTGTCATGATGTGAAATCCAGCAATACTATTATTCTTTGTTCAGAATGATTTTAACCTGCTTTAGTTTGTTTAATCTAAATATAAATGAAGATATGGATAACTGCATGTATGTTTAAGTGTAAAGGATTGACAACCATGTTACTAAGTTTTTGTTGGACAGTTGAACAGAACTGTTTGCAGTCTCGCTGTTTGAATTCCCACTTTATATGTCCCATTTTTGTATCTTGAACAACTCTTTGTAAAACGACAATATATAAACATCAACTAGTGATTTCTTACTGTTTATTTTTTTCTCTGAATGTATGCATTATTTCTACCTATTTTCTGCTTTGTTAGTCTTTCTTTAAATAAAATTCAAATAAATAAATTAATATGAAGATGCGACTTCAGGAACTGGAAAAGAACAGCAACATGAATCCAAGGCAGGCAGATCAAAGTACATCATAAAAGTAAGAGCAGATATCAATGTGATAGAAATCAGAAAATCAAGAAAATCAGTGAAACACAGAGCAGGCTCTGAGCTGTGAAGGGGCTCATTGATAGCACATGTGGCCTGTGTAAGACCTGGGCCACATCCCAGCACCGCCGGGGCAAAACATAATCAAAATTGGCCCCCACAAAAAAGGAGAGGAAGATTATACCGGTTACCAATATTGGAACTGAGATAGAAATATCACTCTGGACTTCTCAGATGGCAAAAGAGCAAGAAGAAAAAGCTGTAGACAGCTCTAACAGAAGAACAGGGCAATTCAGAAAGATGGACCAGCTTCTCAAAAAGTAAGAACTAACAAAACTCACCCGATATGAAACAGGTACTTTAAGTAGCCCTGTGATTATTAAAGAAGTGGGATTTATCGTTTACAACCTCCACCAAAAGAAACTTGGAAACACAGACTGTTTCCACAGACCTCACCATGAGTTTAAGAAGGAATTCATATCAGCTATGTCTGATCCTTTCCAGAACATAGAAGAGGAGGGAATATTTTCTAATCACTTCTTGATACCAAAATTATACAGATTGCAAACACAAAGACAATGCAAAAAAAAAAAGGATATGTCTCATAAATATAGATTCAGAAACACTTAAAATATTTGCAAGGAGAATTCAGCCATATATATATGTATATATAATATGCTTCATGATCAAGTGGAGACTTCCAGATACATGGCAGGTTCAGTATTTGCACATCAGTTCACGCCATCTGCTATGCTAACGGGCTACAATCATGTGTCTTGGTCCCTCTGTTCATCTTTGGCATAAAAATACATAGCATCAGAAACCTAAAGGAAGAGAGGTTTATTCTGGCTCACACTTTTAATCCATCATCAGCTGGCTCCTAATCAGTAAGGCATGGCAGAGGAGCGCCACTCACCTCATGGCACCCCCTGGAAGCAGAGAGGAAAAGGGGAAGGTGGGAGGAGGGAGATAAACCCTTCCGGGTCACCTCCCACCCCGTGACCTGCCTCTTCCAATCAGAACTCACCTTGTAACAGCAAGTCAGAATTAGCACCAATCACCTTCCTAAAGCCCCACTTTCACACCCACAGGCTCTGGGGGACATCTAGATGCAAACCATAACATCACACGATTATTTAAGGGAAGCAAGCAACACTTTGACAAGATTTTGTATATATTTGTGACAAAAACTCCTGGGAAAGCAGGCACTAATTGGGGAACTCAGTAAAGATCATATACTAAAATACCTGCAGTGGAGGGAGAATGAGCTGGGGTGGGGCCCGGGGTGTGATTAAAGTAGGCTGTGTGCAGGTACAGGTCCACCACAGGGAAAGCCACTCACCTGTACAATCAACGTTCACTAACGGGAAAACACGGGGATCACTGCACAGCAAAAAAAAATATATGCAGACACCAGTAAGCAAAGGAGTGCACAGAACAGCATGCCCAAGGTGGCCGTATCTCTGTTCTCTGGGAGTTCTACACAGAAGGGAAAATTTAAAACAATGCAAACGCTTAAGTGTGAGTCATAACAGTCCACGCACATTTCCTATGCAAAACCCCACGACACTGAAGAGAGAAATTAGAGAGGGACCCCAGAGCCTTAGGACTTTCTGATCCTGCAGGAAGCAAGACCATGTGCTCCTGGCAGAGGGTCAGACACAGAGGAGAACAGAGGACCCCAAATAATCCCACATGGGGATGAGGCTGTGCTATTACTTGTAGGCTAAGTCGGTTCAACAGGAGGAGCATAGTTTCCTCCACCAGTTCCAAAACAGAACAAAAAGTACTTTGACTCTGGGAGGCTGAGGCAGGAGGATTTCAAATTCAAGCTCAGCCCAGTGAACTTAATGAGAACCAGACTAAAAATAAAAATTTTTTAAAAGGACCCAGACGTGGTATCACATGCCTGTAATTCCAGCACTCTAGGAGGTTGATGCAGGAGGATAACAAGTTTGAGCCCAGCCTGGGCAAATTAGCAGAATCCTGCCTCACAAAGGAGAAAAGGGCTAGGGCTGTAGCTGGTGTGAAGGCTCTAGATTCAATCCCCGGCACCATCAGAAAACAGTCCTTGGCCTAAATTCTTACTCAGTAAAAAAATCATCTCAAAATCGATCATAGTTTTAAAGGAAAAGCATGAAGCCATGTAAATTTGAGGAAAAATCTGGAAACCTAGAATTTGGTGAAAACTCAGTGTATCAAAAACAAGCTCTATGAAGGAAAAAATAAATGAATAGATTTTAAAATTAAACATCTTTTTTCTGCGAAAGACTGTGTTAAAATAAAAAGCCAATCAGTAGGGAATATATGCAGGCCACATATTTAATAAAGGACACAGCTACAAAATGCCAAGGTCTCTGAAAATTTGACAGGTTAAAAAAAACCAGCCAGAAATCCCGTTAGAATGGGGACAGAAGTCATGAGGAGAATTCCTGCTTTATCAAGAAATTTCTCACTGGAAGTTGTGGCAAATGCCTGTAATCCCAGCAATCTGGGAGGCTGAGGCAGGAAGATTGAAAACCAGAGAATTTAGAGACTCAGTGAGACTCTGGCTCAAAATAAAAGATGAAGGGGTTGGGGATGTAGCCCAGTGTGAAGACCCTGGTTTCAACGCCCTGTCTGAA